GTAGTATGATCGAGCCAATTCTAGTATAGTCGAGTCATTTCTAGTATGATATATTCAATTATAGTATAATCGATTCAAATTCTAATATGATCAATTCAATTCTAGTATGATCGATTCAAATTCTAGTATAGTCGAGTCAAACTTAGTATAATCGAGTCAAATTCTAGTATAGTAGAGTCAAATTCTAGTATAATCGAGTCAAATTCTAGTATAGTCGAGTCAAACTTAGTATAATCGAGTTAAATTCTAGAATAGTCGAGTCAAACTTAGTATAATCGAGTCAAATTCTAGTATAATCGAGTCAAATGCTAGTATAGTCGAGTCAAACTTAGTATAATCGAGTCAAATTCTAGTATAATCGAGTCAAATTCTAGTATAGTCGAGTCAAACTTAGTATAATTGAGTCAAATTCTAGTATCGTCGAGTCAAACTTAGTATAATCGAGTCAAATTATAGTATAATCGATTCAAATTCTAATATGATCAATTCAATTCTATGTATTCATTTTACCAAGAAACGTATTCATTTTACAAAGGAACATGTTCATTTTACCAAGACACTTATTCATTTTACAAAGTAACACATTCAAATGAACATGTTCATTTTACCAAGACACTTATTCATTTTACAAAGTAACATATTCATTTTACCAAGTATAACTGAGTCAAACTTAGTATAATTGAGTCAAACTTAGCACAATCGAGTCAATTGTAGTATGATCGAGCCAATTCTAGTATAGTCGAGTCATTTCTAGTATGATATATTCAATTATAGTATAATCGATTCAAATTCTAATATGATCAATTCAATTCAAGTATAATCAATTATTCAATTATAGTATAATCGATTCAAATTCTAGTATGATCCATTCAAATTCTAGTACAGTCGAGTCAAACTTAGTATAATCGAGTCAAATTCTAGTATAGTCGAGTCAAACTTAGTATAATAGAGTTAAATTATAGTATAGTCGAGTCAAAAAGACGGAAATGGTCGGGGTGAGAAGGTCGGTCCATATGGCCCCGAAGAGGAGGTTTGGCCAGTTGCCCGGCCTTCTCCCCAGGCTGATAACGTAGAGAATGCACCCGAAGATGTAAGTCTCCACCTCATGCCATCCAAACCTCCCAAAAATGTTCACCTTATTTTGTAAATATGTAACATTTTCATTTTATTCTATAACATATTCATCTTACTATATAACATGTTCATCTTACTATGTAACATGTTCATCTCATTATGTAACATGTTAATCTTATTTTATAGCATGTTCATCTCATTTTGTAACATATCCATCTTATTTTGTAACATGTTCGTCTTATTGTGTAAATATGTAACATGTTTATCTTATTCTATAACATTTTCATCTTACTATATAATATGTTCATCTTACTCATTTTGTAACATATCCATCTTATTTTATAACATGTTCACCTTATTTTGTAATATGTAACATTTTCATCTTATTATATAACATATTCATCTTACATTCTTACTATATAACATGTTCTTCTTACTATGTAACATGTTCATCTTATTATATAACATGTCCATCTTACTATGTAACATGTTCATCTTATTTTATAACATGTCCATCTCATTTTGTAACACGTTCACCTTATTGGGTAAATATGTAACATGTTCATCTTTTTTTTATTATTTATTTATTTATTTATTTTATACGTGTTCTTCTTATTTTATAACATGTTCATTTCATTATGTAACATATCCATCTTATTTTACAACATGTTCACCTTATTTTGTAAATATGTAACATTTTCATCTTATTCTATAACATGTTCATCTTATTATATAACATGTTCATCTTACTATGTAACATGTTCATTTTATTATAGATTTGCGTCATCATATTCTAATAACATAAATTAATTATAAAAAATAATAAATTAATTGTATTCCAAAATCTATCAAATGTGGTCTCTATTTGTAGAGAATGAAAAATTATGAATTTTGATATTTTTATTTTTATTTTTTAATATAGAATATAGTTGATAATCTTATTTATTTAATATGATATATAAAATTCATTAACCTATAAAAATAAGACACATGTCATTTAAACAATACTTACCATCTCACTTACCTTGTCCTCTCTCTGCGTGTGGGCTAGAATAAATTGGACAACAATTTCAAATTAAAGTCACTCTTTTTTTTTTACGTGTGTTCACTCTCGGCCCTGGCACACCTAGCAAGGTGTGCCAGGGCACACCTAATTATTTGCCGATTAAGTGATAGGGTGTCACGTGAAGGATTGATGTTGGGATTGTTTAATGGGAATGGGGCCCCGTAGTGTTGTGGAATGTCAGTATTAACCCTGAATGTGCATAACCACGTGTTTGTTAATGGTCGTTGGATGATTCAGTTAAATGGCTATGATGTATTCTTATTTCTTTCACTAAGCACCATTTTCACCGGAGCGCATCCCTATATATATATATATATATAAATTAGTAGAGCATTGGGGGATGCCGGCCCCCAATGAGTTTGCCGCCGGGTGATAAGCAACGGGATGCCGACGGGCGGTGGCAAGAGGTGGCTGGAGGAAGCAGTCGGTGGCTGGTGGCGGCAGCGGGCGCCGACTGGTGGCAGTGGAGGTATTGCCGGAGGAGAGAGACTTATGTGTGTGAAGGTGTGTGAGAGAGTGGATGTTTGGTGCGTGCATCTGTGTGAGAGAGGAGAGAGGAGAGAGATGAGAGATGTGTTGCAATGAATATGGTGGGGCCAACAGGTTTGGTGATGGGTAAAATTATATTTTGCCCTAAATTGTTATATTTGATCCAATAATGTTCAATTAATTACAATAATGCCACCGTGATTTTGACTATATTTAAGTATTTTGACTTCATCATGGCCATTAATGTTGTAGATCCAATGCTCCAAATTTATTCTTATTTCTTTCATGGTGAGTCATTCTCATATGATCCCCTCCCTCCGCCACTGGCTACACCAAATGGAATAAATAATACATAATAGTTACTCCACCAGCATATTTGATTCTCCAATTGATGACCCAGATTTTTGTTTTTTTTTTTGTTTTAGTTGAATTTATACGGTATTTGATGAAATTTAGAGAAAATGAAAGATATATAAAATTAATGATGTAAGATTAGGTAAAAAGTAAAAAAAATAAAAGAGAAATTGCAATTGTGTTAAAAAATCTATCAAATGTGGTCTTTATTTACAGAAAATGCAAAATACAAATTTTGATATTTTTATTTTATTTTTTAAATAAATTAACATCAATAAATATAAATTGTCTTTTATTTTCCTAAAAAATATATTTTTTCCCATTTTATATTGGACAAATATCTCATTTCCAAAATCTTGGCCTGGTTGCAACCCAAGATCATATGGATTGCGCATATTCTAGGACTTTTTCATTAATATTTATTTATTTTCTTTATTAATTTTCAGGTGATTAAATTTCTTGGGTAATCGATAAAACTAGTCTTAGACGTGCCTTATATAATAATTGAAAATGCTAAAATCACGTAACGAAATCATTCCTTTATTAAAAACCCCAATAAAAAACTGGCACATCACTTTTGTTTACTAAATCTAAGGGCCTCTATCACAAGTATAAGATCTAATGACTTTAATTGACTTGAGGGAACCATTCCTCCACGGAATTATACGGACATAGTATTCGATCCTATACACTTGTACATATATAAATAAAATTTATAAGTTATTTATATGCATATGATATTAAAATTGTAAGTTAAATAATAATATTAAATTTTAAACATAGAGTATTATTATAATTTATATTTATATATATAATATTAAAATTTTTATATATTTTGCAAGATCATTTTGTAAAAGGGTTTATTTGATGGGATTTGAATTTTCAAAATATTTGATGTATATTTGTATATCCAAAAAAAATATTTTTTTATTATTCTATGACTGCAATATAAAATAAAGATATGTCGAGTCATTCTTAATTAGTTGTGAAATATGTATTTATATAATACAAAAATATATATAGTATCAAAATAGAAATAATAATATTTTGTATTTCACGAAATAAAAAGTCGTTACAGAAACCAGCACTATCCAAAATGAGACATGCCAAAATAAATTTTGTAACTGAAAGTTGCATATTTTTATTAAATGGTGAACATATTTTTTATTAAATGAACGCCTATTTTTATTAAATCAATTATAGTCTTTCCCATAATAATTATAGTTCATGCTTTCCGCATGGTATTTTTTCATTTTTAATCTGTTATTGACTTGTTTCCATAATAAGTATAGGCCATGCTCTGCACATGGTATTTTTTCCTTTTCTTTTTTTTTTTAACAAAGAAAGAGGCTAGAACAAGCCTAGGTAACGATCCGCCAGGGATGAGACACCCCAACTAAATCGTGCTATAACCACATGTCCGCTCCCGACGGGGGGCTCTCCAACCGTTGAAGTTCACACAGGCCCTTAGCAGCCACGGAAGCCAGAAAATCCGCCACGCAATTGGCCTATATCCATATATTTTTAAACTGTTATTGACTTGGTTTAATTGTACGCGAGGCATACAGTATTGCAACCTGAAAAACGGAGGAAAAAAAAATATCAAGCGGCAGTAATTTAATCAAGAGTCAACGTTTGGTGTAATATAATAACGGAGAATGCTACCATCCCGTTACGGGATGGTTCCGTTGCATTTTCTAGCCATAGATATACATGTAATCTAGTGATGGGTAGTTAATCTAACGCTTAAAAATACAACGGAACCATCCCGTAACGGGATGGTAGCATTCTCCTATAATAACAAACATAAACAAATATTTTGAATGTATTTTGTATTTGGCACTCTCGTGCAATGACGTGCAGTGAGTAATCTGAGAAGAGATCTCTGGTTTCAAAGTTGTGTATATAATACCATTATGTAAAGCCATGCAAGATTTGACATACATCTCAATATCTGCATACATATCACATAGTTAGCTAGCTAGCAAAACACAATTACTGAAAAAAGATTAATAAGATGGCACAAAGCCCTGTGGTGGTGGAGATCATCTCAAGCGAGACTGTGAAGCCTTCGTCCCCAACTCCCCAACACCTCCGAACGCACAAACTCTCGTACCTCGACCAATTATCCACCTCAATGTACTTCTCCCTCATCTTCTTCTATAACCCTAACCACAACCAAACAATCCCAAACGAAGATGACCACCTCCACCGAACCTCCCGACGCCTGAGCCAATCTCTCTCCCACGCCCTCACTTCTTTCTTCCCCTTCGCCGGCCGCCTCCTCAAAGACTCCTCCACCGTCGACTGCAACGATGCCGGCGCCGAGCTCTCAGTCGCTCGGGTCACCGGCCTCTGCCTCGACGAAGCTGCGCGGGACCCTCACGACTTGGCCAAATACCTTCCCGCGTGCCCCACGGACAGCTCGTCTTCCCCACTTCTCCTTGTGCAGCTCAATTTCTTCTCGTGCGGGGGCTTAGCCATCGCCGTCCGCTTCTCGCACATCGCCGATTGCGCGTCCGTGACCGCGCTCCTCCAAACGTGGGCGGCCGGTGGTCGACCGGCGGTCGATTTCGACCTGTCGGGCTATTTCCCGGCCCGAGAGGAGCTCCGGTCGGCAGAAGTCCCCCGCCCCTTGACAGACGAGGGACACCAGACCAAGCTTTTCGAATTCGACGGGGCAAAGTTGTCGGCCCTCAGACGGAGGGCGGCAGGGGGCCACACGCGTGTGGAGCTCGTGTCGGCTTTCATCTGGGAGAGCTTCATCAAGGCATGTAACGGTGGGAAGAAGGTTGCGGCGACCCACACATTGAACTTGAGGCCGAGGAAGAAAGCTCTAGAGAATGTATTCGGCAACTGTTTAATGATGTCATTCACGTACTGTGAAAAGGGTCAGGAGTTTCTCGAGCTGGCGGGAAAACTGAGGGAGGCGATACGGAAGGTGGACGAGGGCTACATCACGGGATCGGAAAAGGATGGGAACATGTACTTGGGGGACGTTGGCGGGTTTTTGACCAAGTATATCACGAGAGAAATCCCGGTTTTTATGTTCACTAGCTGGTGCAGATTCCCAGTTTACGAGGTGGATTTCGGGTGGGGAAGTCCCGTTCGTGTCTGCACAGCGGACTTTCCGTTGAAGAATGTTGCCGTTTTGATAGACATGAACGGGTTAGAGGACGGCCGTGGTAAGGGAATCGAAGCTTGGGTTAACATGACAGAGGACGGCATACAAATACTCGAAAAGAATTTCGAATTGATTTCTGATGATTTCGAGCTTTCATCCTGAAATATTCCTAGTGATTATGGTGTGTGTTTTGTGGTTGTTCTCTCATTTCTTATGTTGATCATCAATAATTCGGAGTGTGAACGAGCCGAAAAGAGTCGAGCTGGCCCTTGTTATTCATTACATCTCTGTTAACGTTAATTTCAAGTTACGTTAGGATTTAGTTTGTTAAGGATTTATATGTTATATATACTCGTTGTTGGTTTCAAGTTATTGATTCGCTATGGATTTTCATGCTATTGTTGGCTTATTTGTTTTATGATGGAAATCAGATTAATGCATGCTCTCTCCTTTGCCATACACACTCGATCGGTCAAGAGCCATGCATGTAGATTTAGTCAAAGCTTCATCCGCAACCATTGATCAACATGATGACAACCCGCAGATCAAGAGAGCACGCACGTTGTCCTTGTACTATTGCTCATCCACAACCGTTGGATCAATGCAGCAAGAAGAGTAGACTCCAAACCATTCGATCAGCCTCAGAATCCGCTCGTCACTACAAGCTAAAAATGAAACAAATTATCTTATCTGGAAGCAATTTATAGGTCCTTACTACCATTAGAGACTATGGTCTTGAGCCCTTCATCACTGGAGAAAGCCAACCACCATCCATCAAGGAAAGTGTTCGAGGAGGGGAAAATTAAGGAGAAGAAAAACGAATCGAAGCGTGCCTTATTTGTGTCGATTTGGGCGGGTCTTTGGGATCTCAAGGAGGGTAGAATCAGCTGATTGCGGGAGAGAGATTATTACTTACCAAAGGGGTCGAATATACTCTTGGATTTGGGCCAACAAGATGAGTCTTGGAAGGCCAAAATATTCTTGAAAAATCGGCTAAAGAGGCTCACAAAAATTGGTTAACACTTGAACTTGAAACAGAACGGAACTTTTTAACAAATGAATTACCGAAAATTTGAATAATCTGAGTAGACGAGGACATCTACGTAACTTATTTAACTTAAAGGATTAAATAGATAAGGACATCTAAATAATCTTAAAGAACTTATTAACTTAGTCGAGCTTAAAAGATATGCAATGCAGTGCAAACAAAAAAATAAATAAAACGAGCTAACTTTTATAAATAGAACGAAGCACTACACTCTAATTCTGGTTTGATGTTGTGCAACAACGGGTCAGGGATGTACCCTGTGCGTGGGGGATCACCATTGGTCCACGCTCTCCAATCTCCTCATGAGCTATCGCCTCTACTTGATGCGGAGTACTCAATGCAGTCCTTGGTAGACCTTTGGGCCTGCCCATCGTTGTCGGAGTGCTTGGGTTTCCCATCTCTAATATTGGCTCACGCTTGGCTGCAAGAGCATTTGTCCTAGGCTGCTCTTTGTTGGAAATCAATCCCAAGGGTGGTCCAGCTCCCATGAGCCGAGTGTGCAGCTATGAACTGTCTTTCTCTTTTCTCCACGTGGTGTCTCCTTGTCACCCGTTTCAGCTTACCAATTTTTTTTATTATTATTTTTTTGTTTGTGTGTGTGTGAGTACCACCTAGCTATCCTAGTCAAACTAGGAAGTCCCACATACGGCGCCAATTTGATAAGGTTTACTGTGGATGACTCCAGTTAATGAGATTTACTTTAGATGACTTCAGTTGGTCTTCTGAAGCAACCCTCGGGTCCGGCCTCTCATCTCCGGTCTGAGGTTGAGTCCGAGATTGGAAAAGATACTTGCAAAAGGGCGCCGGAGTTTCTCTGGTGAAAAATCCTTCGATGCCTAAGTTAGAATCGAAAAGTGGAGAATAAATAGTTGTAGTGTAATGGCTGAGAGTTAAAAGTGTCTTACCCCCCCCAGCAGTTAATGCTCTCATTGTATGTATATAGGCGTGTATATGTTGTACGGAAGTTTTGGGATTAGGATTACACGTCGATCCTAGCCCGTTTGGCGTGTGATCGATCCTACCTCAACTGTAAGATCGATATCATGACGTGTTGGATTGATGTCAGGCGTGCGAAATCGAGTTTCTAGTTTTTACTCGGCCGATATAGTCCGTAAGGGTCTACATGCGACTATGTAACCTATCAAGCACAGTCCATACATAGCCGGTTCGGTCTACCAAGATCGATCCCTCTTGTACGGTTGGATCTGCGAGATCTATGTGCAGTTATTATTCCATATCAATAATAATGTTGCAATCGACAGGGTGGGACTGATCACCTGCTCACTTTGACGATTTATAATAACGTTTCATTTTTTAATTAGCCAAATAAAAACTTCTGTGCATTAGGTAAACCGCATTTTGGTGTAAAGTCAGTGGACTCTTTTGCCTTGTATTCCACTACTCTGTTCGATAATGCAGTGTTGCCCAACTTTAAACCAATAAGCTACATTACAAATCTACACAAATTGCCACAAAAAGAATGAAGGAAAAAAGAAGAGCCACCAAATTTCAAAAGCAAAAAAAGTCAACCTACATTGTTGTTATTTTGATCCAACTCTTTTGGCTTGCTATCACGTGAGTTTTTCATCAGTGAATTGAACACTTATGCATGGTTTGAATCCAGTGGCGGAGCCAGGATGAAAATTTACGTATGGCGAACCAAAATTTTCAGTGGCGTAGCCATGATTAGCAGCTTGACCAAAATGAAATAAATTAATAATAAACTAAATTTACAGCAAACTCATATGCCAAATTTACAGAAATTAACAATTTTATTTTTTTTATCAAAATAACATAGCAAAATAACGTACTGATCTGAACCCTTCACACAGCAAAACATTGCGCTAAACCCCATGGGATCTTTTCAACACCCCACGAAGCAAAATCTCATCTTTGTCCGAATTTTCACCACTGTTTATTTAATTATTTATGCTCAGCCGCAGCAGCCATGAAAATCCCATCTTCGCTGAAAAAGGCCGCTCATTTTTTTTCTAAAATTAAAGGCAACTAGCAAAATTAAAGTATTCAAATAATGTGAAGGCAAGAAAAAGAAACTTGAACACTTCAATTGTCGTTCACAGAAGGGCCCTAGTGACGAAAGCAGATATTTTGCCAGTGTGACTTAAATGGACCTCGAGAAGATGAGCTCGTCAAACATTAGAGAGCATGGCCGTCTCCAGAAATTTGGAGGCCCCAGACAATTTTTGTAAGGGTGGCTCATAATTCTAGCACAATTTTAGTCGCAGTTTTTCTATAAAATCAGATGGTTGGTTCCCTTATAGAACAAACCATCTGGTTCCCTAGCAAAATTGAGTTTAGTAGGACCAAACACTTTCACTTTTACTACAAGAGCGGTAGGTTTTATGTACCTATCCATCAATCCGACGAGAGATTTTGTTAATTTCTCTTCCTTTTTTTTTCTTTTTTTCGAACTTCTCGATTCGAATTTGCATTTGCCCATCATAACTTGTCTACAAATCTAATCATAAAATGATTGAATATTATATGAATAAAATTAAAATGAGAAGAGGAAAATTAAAATTAAACTCACAGTTGTAAAATTAAACCTCAAGAACAAAATAAAAAGAAAAAACTCAAATTCCTCAACCATACGTTTGAGTTAATAACAAGTATGAACTTCAGCCAACAGCAAACTCCATGAAAGATCTCATTATTCCCCATATACTGAACCCCTAATTCTTAGCTACCCAGCTGCCAATACAAATCAAATTCATCAAAAAACTTCCCAGTTTTTCCCCTCGACTTTTAAGAGCAAAGAGTTCAGCTTCGAGCAATTCAAGCCAATAACACGTCTTTCCTTCACTAATATGACCGTAAGAAGCCAAGAAGGGGAAAAACTTTTAGAACAAAAAATTAGGGTCTCGAAGACTCACGAATTTGGGCGAAATCAGCAGAACCCTTATGAACTCTCCGGCAACCTCCGTCAAGATTCCGATCGATCCTCATCTGGACACTCACAGAACGGGGGGGGGGGGGGGTGTTCGCCGGCGGCCAGGTATGGCGGCCGCCATGCCTCGCCATACTGGTGGCTCCGCCACTGTTTGAATCTAGTACAAGCGTACAAGCTAGACATGGCCACGGGTCGAACCAGCCCGTGGCCCGACCTGTGAACCGGCACCGGTTCGGCCCGAACCAGCTCGAACCGGCCTCTTAAGCGCCGGTTTGTTGAACCGGGACCCGTAAGGCCGCGGTTCGGTCCCGGTTCATACACTCTTTGTCTTTGATCCGGTGGGCCGGGCCGGGACGTCGCGGGTCACGTTGCTTTTTTTTTTTGGATTTTTAAGGGTCGTACCAGCCCGGAACCGTCCGATACCCGCGGCCTGGTGAACCAGCAGTTCCGGGCTGGTTCTATGAACCGGCCCATAGGTTTTTTCGGGCCGGTTACGGGTCGGGCCGGGTAGCGGCCCAGTACCTTGTCATGCCTAGTACAAGCTGTCCATATCTAGTAACTTTCTAGATCAAGCACAATATAACTATAAGCTGGAAGGAAAATAACAAAAACCAACTTGCAGTTAGATTGAAACAGCTCTTTCAAGGTCTCAAATCTCAATATCATTGGTGCTGAACATGTAGACACGTCCCCCACTTGTAATAAATGAAACATAATAGAACATTAAAAAAAAAAGGTGACATTATTTGGAATCTTGTGTATAAGAGCAGAGAAAGTTGTTTGTTGCCTACTTTGGCTCTGCTTTTTTAAGCTTCAAGCAAAGAGAGAATATAGGAATATAAACAGTTGAACCACAACAAACATTGAAGAAGGAGGAAAATACTACAGTCCCGTTAAGGAACCATTTCGTTTGGGTTTGTAATCGTTTGTAACCGTTAGACCATCATGTAACCGTCGAGAATATTGAGCTAGCGGTTATAAATCCCAACAGAATGGTTCCGTAACAAGACAGTAACATTTCCCCATAATAGTAAAAGAAATTGGAGTCCACTCACAAGTTAAGGTGATGAACCCACGCAAAACTCCACCAGATTAAAGGAATTCAAATCTTAATGTAATCAAAGAAAACAAAACAATATTTGCATAATACATCATGAAACCCAAAAATAATACAATTGAAAAAAGAAACAAAAGGAGACATAA